GAGTGATCTTGGGAGAAAATAAGAGTTGGATCTCTACCTTACACTGTACACTAGGATGGATTCCAGGTGGATCAAAGATTTTTAAATGAGACCATCAAAATACTAGAAGAAAATATGAGAGAGTTCTTTAGAACTTGAGTATATAGAACTTACATTGGACTTAAAATCCCCAAATCATGAAGGACTGATAAACTTAGCCATAGGCTTTTGTATGACAACAACAACAAAAATCCATAGCTAAGAACAAAAGGAGGAAAATATATTTGCAATTCTTAGTGCAGACAGAGGGGATAGTCTCCCTAGGATGTATGAACTCCAGAAACTGGACAGAAAGAAGCTAACAATGAGTAGAAAAATTGGCAAAAGATATAAAAATACAGTTATATGTGAACTATGTGAGATACAAAATGGTTCTTAAGCATAAAAAATGTTTAGCCTCACTCAGATTTAAGATCTTACAACAGGACTGTCAAAAATCCAAAAGTTATATAATACATGGGGTATCAGACACTGTTATTAGAGGGATGGTAAATTAGGGCAGTTGATTGAGGGCAGTTTGGCAATTTATTTAAAAATATCAAGTGTGTATAAATGCTGATTTTTGTGAATTTGTCATGCAGATGAATTTGTGCACATGTGATGTGACCTGTATATAGAGTTTTCATTGCAGCATGTTTATAATAGCAAAACATGTGAAACTACTTAAATATCTATCAATAAGGGTATAAATAAATATGGTCCCTCCATAAAATGGAATGCCATGCAGCTATGAAAATAAAAAAGAATCAGGATGCTTTGTAAAAATATGGAAATAATTCCAGGTTCTATATTAATAAAAAAAAAACTAAACAAAATTTAAAAAAGAGGGGAGCGTTTGGATTCTGTGTCTCCCTCTCTGCCCTTCCCCTTCTCATACTCTGTCTCTCTCAAAAGTGAGTAAACATTAAAAAAAAAAACAAACAAACAACTAACAGGTTGCACAGCAATGCTTATGGCATTCAGAACTACTGCATACATCAAAGAACCTATTTATATCATGGGTTTATAATCCATACCCTCAGGGATTGTACAGTGCACAGCATGAACAGCTGGATGCTTTGTGCCTGATTGTAGCTAATTTCTTAGTCAAAACAAAAGCAAAGGAATCCATATTTATTCATATTTGTTTATGCATAAAGGAGCTAACAGTATTCACAAGAAACAAAAACAGTGGGTACTTAAGTTATGTGGAAATGGTGTGGTGATAGATAGGATGGATATATACATCCATTACAAACACCTCATTGGGATTTTTAACTTTTTAAAAACTAAAAGACATACTGTTTCATTATCAATATTATGAATATTCATTCAACATTGCAATTTCATGAAGTTAATATTTACCATATTTTCCACCAGATGTTTTTATCCTTTTTTACCTTCTTTATTTTTGGTCTAGTAAAAAGAACTTGTTTTAGAAAGTATTGAATGCCATCTCTTTGGGAATATAAATTATTAAGTCTGTTATTCACACATATTTATCATGGGCAGATTTTTTATCTCATGAGATTTTTTTTTTTTAAGTTTATTTATTCTTGAGAGGCGGGGAGGTTTAGAGGGAGAGGGAGACACAGAATCTGAAGCAGCCTCTAGGCTTGGAGCTGTCAGCACAGAGCCCAACACGGGGCTCGCACTCACAAACCGCAAGATCAATAACCTGAGCTGAAGTTGAATGCTTAACCTACTGAGCCACCCAGGGACACCCATGAGGTTTCTAGTTGTGTAGAATTAAAACTGTTTTGATCAAAGTAAAGCTCTAATTTAAGATTTCTGGAATGGATTTTTTGCTTACAACAAGATTCTTTCCTGCAGTGTTCCACTTTCTCTGCTTTTGCTGACCTAACATTTTCCCTCTTATGAGTCACTAAACTAGAAAAACAATATATTTTTCTTGAATGGGTGTATTTTTAGTAAAAGAATAAGAGTATTTTTCTTCTGTGTCATTCATTAATAATGTGAAGTTTGTGTGTGTGTGTGTGTGTGTGTGTGTGTGTGTGTGTGTGTAACATTATAGAACCCTTGTTGGTTGAGAGGCTTGCTAACTTCTAGAAAGAAAGGAGTAGGGAATAAATAGAAGAGAGGGAATGAAAAGGCACTTTATGATATTTAAGCTTTAAGGATAGATATAGATATCTTGTTTGTTTAAAAAAAACCACAATAGATATCTTGTTTGTTTAAAAAAAAAAAAGCCCGCTGTTTGGATGGATAAAACTAAACACATTTCTGTTAGTTTAATCAGCAGTAATATCTCCATATAAAAGAGACAGCATAGGGGCACCTGGGTGGCTCAGTAGGTTAAGTGTCTGACTCTTGATTTCCACTCAAGTCATTATCTCACAGTGTGTGGGTTCAAGCCCCAAGTTGGGCTTTGCATTGACAGCAGGAAACCTGCTTGGGATTCTCTCTGTGCCCCTCCCCCATTCTCTCTCTCTCTCTCTCTCTCTCTCTCTCTCTCTCTCAAAATAAATGAACTTAAAAAAATAAGAGAGAGACAGCATATTACTACTGTTAGTACTCCTATATTTTCAGAGAATGACACTTTTCTACAAATTTCAGTTTCCCAACATGCCATAGTGGAAAAATATTGGGTTTGGAGCTAGACAGAACTGGATTCAAATTCCAGTTTATAACTGGTTAACCTTGTGGTCATGGACAAGTCACATAGCTTCTGCTTGACATTTTCATTTATGTAAATGTCTTTCATTTATGTAAATACAAATATGTAATACCTGCTTTGTGGGGCTCCTTTGAGGGAGTATAAAATCCTCCAACATGGTGCCTGGCCATATTGGTGTTCAGTAATGACAACATTCTGGGCAGGCTGGCCTTCCCCCATGCTTCCCCAACCCCCTGTGTGCACTATCAGAGCACTTAGCACCCTCCTGATGTCTGTTTATTTGACTGTCTCTGGAGATAGACTGTGCTTTTTAAGCTCACCTCGAGCACTTAGGACACTGTCAGGCATGTTAAGCGAATAAAATAATTTAAATACTTAAATTTCATTTTAATAATTTAAACAGAAATATTTAAAACTGCCTTGATGGGGCGCCTGGGTGGCGCAGTCGGTTAAGCGTCCGACTTCAGCCAGGTGACGATCTCGCGGTCCGTGAGTTCCAGCCCCGCGTCGGGCTCTGGGCTGATGGCTCAGAGCCTGGAGCCTGTTTCCGATTCTGTGTCTCCCTCTCTCTCTGCCCCTCCCCCGTTCATGCTCTGTCTCTCTCTGTCCCAAAAATAAATAAACGTTGAAAAAAAAAACTGCCTCGTTAAGTATGACATTATATGAAATCTGTTGTATAGTTTAACAGCGACATAGCCATTAGACGTGGGTATGTTTCATCACCTGGGGACCCTGTGTCCAGTAAAGATAAATCACCACTAGATGGGGATCTTACTCACTTTGGCTTCATTTTTCTGCATGCTTCCCCTGTTCCTGTTGCTTGCTACCACAGGGACTGTAAAAGTTGAAACAGGATTTTAACACCCAGGCTAGTGGAACAACACTATGTTAGGTTCCCAGAAGGTGTTTGGCTCTTTCTTCAGGGTCTACTCAAATTATTTACAGCAGAATCTGTGATTTCTTCATCATTCAATGGTTAGTGAAGGGCTGGGATGATCCCCTTGATTTTAGTTCTCTGCCTCAGTTTTGCTCTTCCTAGAACTTTGGGTCCCCAAGTCCTCAGCCTGTGTGGGATTCTGCAAGATAGTTTTGCCCTGCATTTCTGTCCAGCTGTTTCCAAGGCCAGAATTTTGCTTTGAATCAGTTACTGGTGTGCTGAGTTACTGACTTCCCGTAGCTCCTCACAGGTATAGCATGCCGCCTCTGTTTACCCCGGTGCTTTGTACGTATATTCCGATTTTCTCTGCGTGTGCTCAAACTCGAAAATATTTAAGAAGGCTTGCCCTAATTTTCAGCTTCTTCAGCCTTCCTTTCTTTATCTGTTATCACCTCCCTATTTTTTTGTCTTCCAGAAATTTGTTGAACATTTAATCTGATGGCTCTTCTCCCATTTATTCATGTACATTATGAATTTATACTCTTATAAGTGGGCTCTCTGAAGGGAAGGAAGATATATGCCAAGGTCGAGCTTCCCCTTTTTTTGTTTTTAGATAATTTTATTTAAGAAAAAATTATTGAAGTATAGTTGACACACAGTGTTTCATTAGTTTCAGGTACACAACATAGTGACTCTACAACAGTACATTATGCTGTGTTCACCACAAGTGTAGCTGCCATCCATTGCCATACAACATTATTATATCACTGACCGTATTCCCTATGCTGGACTTTTCATCCCTGTGATTTATTTATTTCTTGCTCATTTCATAACTGGGAGCCTGTATCTCCCACTCCCCTTCATCCATTTTGCCAGTCTCTACCCCCCACCCCCCACCAGCCCTTCCCCTCTGGCAACTTTAAATAAAAATCAGATTCATCAGGTTTTTAAAAATTTAGCTTTATTGAGATATGATTGACTTGTAATAAACAGTACCTATTTATAGTGAGAGAATTTGGTAAGTTTTGACATGCGCATTCATTTGTAAAACCATCACTACAGTCAAGGTAGTTACTGTACCTATGAAGAAACTAAGGCCTGGAGAAGAAGGTCACATTGGAATCTAGGCCTATCTGATGTCAAGGTCCACCACACTCTAGTCTTTGAAGTCTGAATGCTAGCTAGAAAAACAACCACTATTTCTCACTTGTGTGGGGAAAGCACACAATTTCTGAATCTAGCTATTCATTTCTTTAATAAGAGGGTTGTGCTAAATGTTCCCGGTGGCTTTTAAGGTTCTGTACTTTATCCATATTTCTTATGCAGAGATGGTAAACTTCTGTTCAAATACAACTTTTTTTAATTAAATGAAACTGCATCATTCTTTTTAATTTTCACAGTGGAGCCACATGAAACCTTAAAATCATATACACACACACACACACATATTTTTTTTTCTTTTCACAGGAAAGTATTTAAGAAGCTTGTGGAATGATATGATTCAGAGTAATATTGGATCTACAAGAAGTACCTCAAGATAGTTGGTATGACAATAGGAATTTCTGTTTTTTTCAACAGTGTATTGTATAATTAATTATCTTACAGATATTCTGACTATAAACTTTCTAGCCTGGGCGCCAGGGTGGCTCAGTCAGTCGGTTGAGTGCCTGACTTTGCCTTAGGTCATGATCTCGTGGTTCATGGGTTCAAGCCCTGTGCCAGGCTCTGTGCTGACAACTTGGAGCCTGGAGCCTGATTGTGATTCTGTGTCTCCCTCTCTCTTTCTGCCCCTCCCCTACTTGTGCATTCTCTCTCTCTCTCTCTGTCTCTGTCTCTCTCTCTCTCTCTCTCTCTCTCTGCCTTTCCAAAATAAATAAATAAACATTAATGGGGCTTCTGGGTGGCTCAGTCGGTTAAGCATCTGATTTTGGTTCAGGTCATGATCTCACTGTTTGTGGGTTCAAGCCCTGCTTTGGGATCTGTGCTGACAGCTCAGAGCCTGGAGCCTGCTTCAGATTCTGTGTCTCCCTCTCTCTTTCTTCCCCTCCCGAACTAGTGTTCTCTCTCTCAAAAATGAATAAAAACATTAAAAAAATAAAAAATAAATAAACATTAAAAAAAACACAACTTTCTAGCCTTGTGCTCACAAGAGATATTTGTCACAGTGTTTTATTAGTATGTGATTTAAGTGTATTAATGGTGGAAGCTATATAGTTACCTAAAGCTTAACTGTATTTTTCATCCCTGCCAGAAAATGCCAATTTTATATAGATACAGATAATGATGTGAATATAGCCCTATAGCGCGCTCTCTCTCTCTCTCTCTCTCTGGAGAACTGTCTTTATATTTCTTACATATTATCAACCTCTAACGTGTCTATATAAATGCATATCATTTACATACCAAGTGTATGTGATGTTTTTATGCAAAATTGAAATCAAATTTGACTACTCTTAAGGCATGAAAATTTATTTCCTACTTCTCCATTCTTAGGAAAAGAAGAATTTCTAGACTCTTCATCAAGATCTTCATTTACACAGTGGTTAAATCCAAGGCTCCTGTGGTAAAATCATGAATAAAAATACACCTGCTGTGGTATCATCCAGTCTACTTGAAAAGTAATTTTTAAATTAAATGTAATATGTTTTGAGCTACATAGTTTGAAATATACAGAATGTTAATGAGCTTTTAGTTCAAAATTTTATACAGCTAACTGGTCTAAAGCAATAATTAGGAAGTTGATCAATAATTACTTTCCAATGTAAATCAATGTATGGGATAAATTCTGCATTCTTTTTTATAATTCTTTATAGAAATTGCTTTTTAAAAAATTTGATCTGATATTTTGAATATTTAAAATATTTTATGATTCAAGTATCAAAATAAGATAATGTAAGATTAACTTTTGCTGAGTAACAAACCACCCGAATTGCCTTGAAACAGCAAGCATTTATTTTTTCTCATGCTTTAGTTGTTCTGGTATGTATCGGATAGTGTAGGATGGCCTCATTCACATTTCTGGGGCCTCATCTGGAAAGTCTGGATGGCTATCTCTCTGAACCTGGTCTCATTCTCCAAGAGGCTAGCTCAGGCTTTTTCACAGGATGGTGGAATGGTTCCCAGCAACAAGCCCAAGTGTTTTTCAAATGTCTGTTTCCCTTACATTTGCTGGTCTGTCATTGAAGCAATTCAGATAGCCAAGTCCAAATTCAAGGGGTATAGATATAGAATCTACTTTTTTTTTTAATGTTTTTATTTATTTTTTTGAAGGAGAAAGAGAGAGACAGAGCATGAGTGGGAGAGGAGCAGAGAGAGAGGGAGACACAGAATCTGAAGCAGGCTCCAGGCTCTGAGCTGTCAGCATAGAGCCCAACACGGGGCTCGAACTCACGAACCGTGAGATCATGACCCAAGCCGAAGTCAGATGCTCAACCAACTGAACCACCCAGGCACCCCTAGACTCTACTTTTTAATGGAAGAAACAGTAAAGTCACATTCCACAGGGCATACAGACAGCGATGGGAAGAACTTGTGGCCATTTTGCAAACCTGTAACTCATAGAATAAGGCATTCTTGTCTTTCATTCACTCTGTGCCCTCATTCTTCCTATAGATAACCATTTTTATTTTTGGTTCTTTCCCTGTGCTTCTTTTTGGATAAGCAAATAATATACATATAAATATATACACATGTTTTATATATATATATGTATTTGTGTGTGTATATATATACACACTTGAGTCAATATTTTTACCTCAAAGCTATTATTCATAGTAAACACATGCACATTAGCCCTTCAGCTCAGGTTCACAGGTCTTCCCTGGAGAAGGATGTCAGGCTGGTTAAACTCAGGATGTCTTTCTCTGACATCACTTCCTGAGAGCACTGGAAAGTTCTGGTCTCCAGGGGTCACCAGCCAGGCTCATCTGTGGTGTGTGCAGAGAGCTCCATGCACAGCTTTATGCTCTGGTGCTGAACAGTTTTACTTTCTGGGACAGCAGAGAGTTTTGTCCAACTTCTTAAGGCAAAATCAAGGCCATGGGAAAGAATCATATGACTGAGTCAATACGGCCCCAACATCCAGGCTCCACCTCCCAGTTTCCACTCACCAGCATATTCTTAACAAAAAGGTAGCATATTATATATACTCTTTGATCTTGCCTTTAAAAAAAAAAATATATATATATATATGTGTATATATATATATATATATAAATTTTTAAAATTATATCCTGGTAGTCTCTTCATATCAGTCTATAAATGTCTTTCTTGTACCTTTTGTAACTATGTATTCTATCCTATCAATTTACCATAGTTTATTCAGCCAGCACCTTATTGATAGACACCCATTATTTGCAATTTTTGAAGATTTCAAATTATGCGAAAATAAATAACCTAGTATACACGTAATTTTGTATTTTTTTGCCAGAGTATCTTTGGGATAGATTCCTAGAAATGGGATTTCTGGATCAGAGGGTAAACTTAGAGTTTACCAAATTCCCTCATTAGAAGTTATGCCATTTTGCATTCCCATCAACAATGTACAAGAGTACCTCTTTTTCCACAGCCTTGTCACTGGAGTATATTGTCACAGTTTTAAATTATATGTTGATCTTGTAAGTAAATAGCAATATCTCTGCCTAGTTTTAACTTGTAATTCTCTGGGATTAAAGTTGAGCAGCAGAACTATTTCTAATAGCTAAGAAAAAGTAAATAATACAAAATTTTAACATAAGGGAGTTGTAACATAAGCTCCTGGCAAGTAAATGCTGTACAAAATACAGAAATTCTGTTGACAATTAGAAAAAGAGGGATCCTTTACTGAAGCAGTAATATATGGTGGAGATTATGAGTATCCCCCATTGAAGGAAATTTGCATTTGGAGGGTTTAAGAGGTTATACGAGGTACCTAATGAGGTACCTTAATTCCCCCTCTCCCTCCTCTCTCTCAATTCTAGGCTTCATTCTTTTATGCCTTTATAACCTAATATTCCATCAAAAGTGGGCTGAGCTTCTGAAATCTGTAACAGTGAAACATTGTGGACCTAGTCCCTTCTGCCTCTTTTTCTAGCTAATTGACTGTTGCCCTAGTAACCAGAGAGGCCATCCAACACCAGAGCTTAATTCTGTATAATGCAACCCTGAACAATGTCCTGTGTACAGAGCAAAATATTCAAAAGCAGGAAGGCTTATAAGGTTTTGTGGGGTTTTTTTGTATTTTAATTTTTTTCCTCCTGTCTTTTTTATTATTTAACTTTTGAATACATGCTTTCTTAAAGATATAGTTAGAATTCTTGTGGCAGAAGATAAGAAAGCTTTTTCTAAAAACTGTAATCATATTTAAGATACGAGGCACCTTTTTTAATACCAGTTTCAGTTTTTTTGATATGTGTGAAGATAGCTCCAATATTCATCACTGGCTTTAATACGACCACGAAGCATATCTTATGCCACATTTTGCCTCTAGAGTAACACAAACTGGGTTTCTATTGCTGTTCTCCAGCTTTATAACCTTAGACCACCAAGTTAACCTTCCCAGACTTTGGTGCTCTCAGAAAAATGAGGGTAATAATCTTAGGAGTTGTATAAATGCTAAGTTGAATAGCATAGTGTATGTATATTGCTTAGCACAACCCCAGTTACATCATATGTAAGCAGGCAGCCCTAAGCCTTATTTGAAACTATGTTCAAGCCCTCTTTGACCAATAAAAGTCTCCGCTCTGACTGGAGTGTTCAGAAACACAATTTGAGGGTATGCCTTTTATAGAATTCTTTTGACAGTTCCTTCTTTTCTTTTTCTAAAAAAATTTTTTAGTATTTATTTATTTTTTGAGAGACAGAGAGAGCAAGTGGGGTAGGGGCAGAGGGAGGGGAAGACACTGAATCTGAAGCAGACTGCGGGCTCCGAGCTGTCAGCACAGAGCCCAATGTGGGGTTCAAACTCATCAACTGCAAGATCACGACTTTAACTGAAGTCAGATGCTTAACTGCCTGAGCCACTCAGGCGCCCCTCCTTCTTTTCTAATGTCATTGTTCTTAACGTTTGACAGAAATTACGGATGAGCATGTGCTTTCTATCAGAAAATACTCTTCTGGGGCGCCTGGGTGGCGCAGTCTGTTAGGCGTCTGACTTCAGCCAGGTCACGATCTCGCGGTCCGTGAGTTCGAGCCCCGCGTCGGGCTCTGGGCTGATGGCTCAGAGCCTGGAGCCTGTTTCCGATTCTGTGTCTCACTCTCTCTCTGCCCCTCCCCCGTTCATGCTCTGTCTCTCTCTCTGTCCCAAAAATAAATAAACGTTCAGAAAATACTCTTCTGAAATTAAAAAGATAAACTTTTCTTTATGATATTCAAATGGAGGTCATATTTATTTTGCTTTAAATGACTGCCAACATGTCTTTTAAAAAGTCACTTACCTAACTCAATAAAATCTTTAATTTTGGGATTGATCCCTCAGTGTAGTCTAAGAAGCCAGCTAAAAAGGGAAATCTGTTCAGTTACCTTTAATAAACCTTTAAATATATTTAAATTATATGTTGAAGGTATTTTTCTTCCTTCTACAACAGAGAAATAAGCACTATTGCTGTAATTTCTTCTATGGTTTGTTTTTATAGAAAAAAAATACTACAGGTAACAGAATCCATTTGATTGTTTTCCTATCATCATACTTTTCTAAATGTCGTTACTGGTATGTACTGAGTACATGGGGTTATCTAGATCTAAGAATTTGATTTAACAAGTAGTTTGAAGAAAAAGTGGGCATAGATCCTCTAAGCTAACCTGTGAGTGCTAATTTACTTTATCTTAGGGATCCTGCCTTTCAGATGATCACAGTTACCAAGGAAACGGGCCTTGGTCTGAAGATCCTTGGAGGAATTAACCGGAATGAAGGCCCCTTGGTATATATTCAGGAAATTATTCCTGGAGGAGACTGTTACAAGGTAAAAATTAAAATAAAAATAATATTTCACCAAAAACCAAACCTACTAGTGGTGAGGTTTGTTTTCCTACTACATCAGTAAATTTTTAGTATTAATTGAATGTCCCCGGTGACTATTTCTCAGTGAAAGATCTTGTAAGAACTGGAAGATAGGCCTTTACCTTCAAGGAGCTTTAACCTAACAAATAAATAGGAAGTAAACATGAAATAAATTGGAAAATAACAAATTTGAGAATCTTTTTTTTTTTTTTTTAACGTTTATTTATTTTTGAGAGAGAGAGAGAGAGAGAGACAGTCTGCGAGCAGGGGAGGGGCAGAGAGAGGGAGACACAGAATCTAAAGCAGGCTCCAGGCTCTGAGCTGTCAGCATAGAGCCCAACACGGGGCTTCAACTCACAAATGGTGAGATCATTAGCTGAAGTCAGACACTTAACCAACTGAGCCACCCAGGTGCCCCCAGACTTCAAACTCTTAACTAAAGGTTATATATTTTTAATAATATACTATTTAACTCTTATCCAAAGTCTGATTTTGAGAAATTGTATTTGAAGGCATGTTATCTCTCCACTGCTGAATTTGGATTAAGTCAGATCACTTAAACTGGAAGTACCTTCATATTTAGCCTCTCCTAAATGCAAAATATACAAACTCAGCATGTAAATTCTGCTCATCTCTGAATTTGCAGTAATTCTTGTTTAGTTTGTTATTTATATCATGCATTAGTTGCCCACATGAGAAATTAGATTTAGATTTAAGACCAGAAAATATCTTTTTTTCTTTTTTTACAAATTAGAAAGCCTTACTCCCCTCTTTGTTATAAGAAATATATAAATCATGATTTCCTTTTTGCTCTGGTTGCTAGAAAGCTCAGATCCACATTTGAAGTACAATATCAACAACTTAGTTAACAAACTAGTTATTATATTTTCATTTTCATTCCTCCTGAATTTCATTTGCCATATCTGTTTTACTAATGTGATTCTGTCTTTTGTTGAAAATTGCCTGCAGTCCTTTTTGGAGAGATATAGGATATAAAGAATTTCATAAAATAATTGTATTAACAGCAAGCTATAAAGCATGAGAAAGGATCCTTTTAACATTAAGTTTATTCATATTGTTGTTCTTTTAGTTATTTTGATTCAATAAATAGTCCTGCCCTTACCTCCACCCTCACCCCAAACATTTGTTTAGCAAGTAGTTTATCTAGGCAACTGGATTTTTATTCCCCTTGTTAGGAAAAAAAAATTAGTTTCGCCAATAATTTCGAAATTAGTAGAAATGATTTCAATTGTTTCAAGCTTGTTGAGATAATAGGATACACTTACCATGTTGTAAGTGCTATATAATAAATTTAGGATATATAATAATACAGACTTTTAGCTATTGAATTTAAATTGTTAACCAAATAAAGTTTACTTAAATACTAAAGTGTTTAACAAATTCAAACAAAAAATAAAATTAGTCTTGTAAGAATTGAGGTGTTTATGACTGCTTTAGTTGAGGGACGTGTGTGTGTGTGTGTGTGTGTGTGTGTGTGTGTGTGTGTTCACTATAGCCAAGTTATTTCTTAGACCACGCTTCATACAATGTAATGATAGATCATGGTATCTAACAAGTGATAAAAATTTGCTATTATGATACGTATCAGTTTGTGCTTTTTTATTCCAATGAAACATATTTATAGTTAAAATAATAAAGGGATAACATGCTGAGGGACACTTAATCTGCTATCAGTGGTAGCAGACTGGGAAATTAAATACTTTCTCTTACTGGTTTTTCTTAGAATTTCATTGTTTAGAAGGCTATCAAAAAGTAGTCATTTAATGGACTATATTCTATATTTACCACTAGAGAGCAGCACAGAGTTATTAATGTTCCTTGACAGTATCTGGTCAAGTCCAAAGGAAGAAAACAGCCAAAACAGAGAAAAGTGGAGACAGAGAAGAATAAATACACTTGCAATGCTCACACTCATTTTTGTATACTTCCTCAAGATGGAGAGTTACGTGCATATTTATTCTGCAAATACAAATTGGTGCAGTTTTATTTTTAAATGTTTTTATTAATAATAGCATTTACTGTGTTCCAAATACTGTTAGGCATGTTAATAAATTTCTAATCTGTGCAAAATTTCTGCATAGTAGATGCATTCATACAATAGGAAACACAGGTTCATAAGATTATCCTTATTAAGTTGCTGAACTGAGCACCTTCATATTTTTAAATGCATATGAGTGCTTTCACTTGCTCTAATTATAATATTCTGTTGTTTGAGAATTACAGTATAGGTAATCCCCAAGCTTATAGATGGATTATATTGCATTTATATTCCCAAACTTCATATGTTAGAGGGCTATTGGAACTCAGAAGAAATCTTTAATCACAGCTGCCTGAACCCTCACCCCCACCCCCTTACACATGCATGAATGTTTTCCTACTGGGAAATACAAAATACAGTACTGGTTCCGTAACCAAAATACCATGTTTCTTTGAAAAACATATTCAAACTTGGGGCATCTTGACAATTTTTCCGTTGCAATAGAAGGAAAGATTCTTCCAGCTCAAAGTGTTAGAGACAGCCTATAGGATGAGATTAGATGTACCTAGGTACTGAGGAAATATGAGAACTCCAAGGCCCTTTTCACCCCACCAGCCAGTTCCATATCAGTCTGGAGTCTTTAGTGTTCAATCTTAGACCTTTTTCTGGCTGAGATACTCCTTTGAGCTTCATACTCACATGTCCAATTGCTTGGTCAGCATTTCCACTTGGATCTCCTTAAGGCATCTCAAACTCACTGTAGTTGAGGCAAGACTCATGATAGTCACACCATACCCTCATCTGGCCATCTCTTCCCAAAGAGAGCTTCTTCCTCTGTTCCCAAACTTGATGAATGACACCTTCCAGTTGTATCAAGTTAGAAAACCTAACAGCAGCCTAACTACTTCCTCTCCCTTAACATTCATCCCCAGTTTTATCAGCACATGCTGTTGACTTTTTTGCTCTCTAAATATCACTTGAGCCCATCAGTCTTCTTGATCTCCACCACCAGCACATAGCTTTTAATCAGATCTCACAATAGCTTTGTCTGCTTTTATGCACCATGCCTATTTCCTCCCCAGCCTATCTTACTAATATTCAGTTGCCTGTATCACGTGACTTCTGCCCTCTATTTCTCTGGCTTTCCATCTTTATGCTTCCAGAGCGGTATTTTTTCAGTTTCCTGAAGTTCTTTCTCATATGCTGTACCCTCTGACTCAGAACACACCCTTGCTGCCGCCGCCATGACTTCCAAATATCTATTCAAAGACTAATTCCTGAGGAATGTGTTCTCGGTGCCCTCCAGTTTAGGCCAGGTCTTTTTTCCAATATGTGCTCCTAGATCCTGTTTCTTTCCTGAGATATCACCGATCTCAGTTTGTAAACACACATCCATATCTGTACTTATTTTATCAACTCTGTCTGAACCACAAGACAGTATGTTTCCTAGGTGGGAGGATTCTATCTGGTTTTATTCACAATAATATCCTTAGTCCCCAAAGTGATGCCTGGCATAAACTAATTGCTCAGTTAATATTTATGAATGAATGATCCCTTAGTCATTCTGTCATGTTTCTGCCTGTTCCCCATTCCCCTGCCACCATCTGGCTCCATACCAAGTCCCCTTCTTCCCTTGTCCTTTGCGTTATATTCTGGACACAAACTTTCTTTGAAGTTTTCACATGTTTTTGCTTCTTTGTTTTTCTAATAGTGTAAGGAAAGCAGGCAGTGATCAAAAGCTTTTCTTCAAACCTGATACTACATTTCATATATCATTTAACTGATTCTAAGACCTATATTAAAGCACATACATATAAACTCTATGAGATGAGTCTTACAGTCAATTTCATAGTGTAATTGGCAGCATTTTCTTCTCTTAGTGCTGTGTAAAATAATGGCCATCTTACAGTCAATGTCATCTTAAATTTGATAAATTCAGGACCTTTTTTTTTTTTTTAAGTCAAATCCTGTAGGTAAAGACAGCGATCACACAGATGTAGATACTAATGGTTAAGTCATTGTTCACAGAGGATCGAAGTAGGACATATTTATCTTTCAGAGGAAGTCTGTTTTCAGAATGTGCTGATCCTAACCATGGAACTCGGACCAAGGCCTCTGGATGACATAGTGTCTAGAAGCCAGTCCCATCAGTGGAAGCTAATGGGAAGTAGCAACCCAAGAGGGTTCACTTTACAAGTCATTCTTTTCTCTTTTGCCATTATTACTACTGTCTGAGCCACCTTAATTTTCTCAGACTGTTTTCTGGCCCTGATTAATTTATTGTGGGCTTATTGTGTACGTGGCTGGGGGAAACAACCATGAAAAGGACATGGTTCTGGCCAACTGAAAAAAATCAGGGCTGCTAGTTTGGAAGTCGCTGGATTAATGTGCTCTAATAGGAGAGAAAAAGCTATGTGGACAAATAGGGACAGCACAAAGTAAGTGTAATTACTGAGATAAGTAAAAGTGCTTTTGGGGAGAGAGGAACAGATAAGTAATTCCAGGCGATTGGGGCAAACTTATCTCAGAGCAAATGTTTGTACTTGGCAGTGAAGTTTAAGTGCCAGTTCATCAGGTGGAGAAGTGGTGGGGTAGGTGGTGTGAACAACATTTTCTGAGAATAGATTGAAGAATTTGTATGCTGAGGAGGGAAGGTGGATGGTGAGGCTGGAGAAAGTAGATTGTAGGTAGTTTGTTGTGCTGAGTCTGGGAAGCTAAGGAATTTCAACTTTTCCTACCCATGGGCAGCCTTTAAAGGTTCTTAATTTGAGGAGTAAATAGGATTAAATTTGCTATCAATGCGAAAATTACAACAGGCATGGAATTCTGATTCAACTCACCTTTATATGACACCTACAGTGCGCTAGAATTTCATCTATGTTACTTAATTACTAATAGCAACCTTGTGTGACAGGTATTTATCTCCACTTTACAGCTAAGAAAATGGAATCTCATAGAGATTAAGCGTCTTGCCTAAATTCATATTAGTAACTGGCAGTAAAAGAAGTTGACAGTTTCTGAAAGTAATGGGAAAAGAACGGGAAGTCTTGCAGGAGGCCTTCCTTAGTATTCAGGAATCAGGAGTTAGTTAAATCAGAGTCAGGCTGATGGTTTCTGATAACATGGTAACATGTTATTTAGAAAACTATATAATGGTTATTGTAAATGAACAGTGCTGGTGGTTTTTAACAGAAGTGTCTAAATGGTCAGGGATATGTTATGACTTCAACATCTTTGTAAATGTCAATGCAAAAGAATGCAGACCCTGAAGGTGGGCATGTGAAAGGGCTTGGCGCCTTGCCTGGCGCCTTATGCAGTTGCTCAGTAACTGCTGAATCAGAACCCAGACAGTGTGGAAGAGGCCTCAGCATGTCCCCGAAGTTAGTATCTTCACATATACATTAATCCAACTGGGGCAAGATTCGCTGGTTTTGAATGCCAGACTTTTACGGAAATAGCTGTGTTTTAGTTTGCAGGTTCTGACTTTTAAACAGGTTCAGCAATTCACATGATCAGCTAAGATCTTATTCTAGGAGGCAAAGAAAAAAAAAAACGCTGTAAATACTTTTTAGTGAAGGAAAAAATATATATAAACACCAAAAGCTGCAGTTAGAGGGCATTATTCTTCCTCCCTTTTCTGACTCTTGTCCTGATGGAAAATGCTACTTCGGTACCTCAGTGTGCTTTAATATAAGATACATTAAATTGTGTTCATGGGAGCTTTTCCCTCTGTACTGCTAATAGTGTACAGTCTGAGAGGAAAATGTGGAAGATAGCAGGTCTGCTGAAACCCTGTTGCCTACCTGGTTTTTTTAATGTTGATTTGTTTATTTCTTTGAGAGAGAGAATGCGCGAGCACACTAACAGGGGAGGGGCAGGGGCGGGGGGGCAGAGGATCTGAAGCAGGCCCTGTGCTGACAGCAGAGAGCCCAATGCAGGGCTCAAACTCACGAACCGTGAGATCATGACCTGAGCAGACACTTAACCAACTGAGCCACCCAGGTGCCCCCACCTATGTGTTTTCAGTAGCCTTTTCCTCTGCAACCCTGACAGCCAGCTGTGGTCCATATAAGATACGTGGATACGGGAGCTCCCTCCAACAATTTTTAATTCAGATCTATGTTTTTTGTGGATTACCTCTTGTGCCTCTCCCAGCCCCCTTCCCATCTTTCACTCTCTCTCTCTCTCTATTTGTTTATCAACATCTAGCTAGCAAGTTGTAGAGCTCAAATTAGCATTCGGGTCTATCCGGCTGCCATACCTCCTGCTCTTTCCTCTTCTGTCCACTGTGTCTGAAGGCCCCTGCCCAAATGGAAGAACTGCCATCTGACAGTATGTACTGTCTGCCACCCTGATTCTAAAAAGTCCTTTTTTTCCTTGTCAGTGTCCTTTAATTTTTTTTAATGTTTTTTTTTTATTTTTGAGAGAGAGAGACAGAGCTTGAGCAGGGGAGGGACAGAGAGAGAGAGAGAGGGAGACATAGAATCCGAAGTAGGCTCCAGGCTCCAAGCTGTCAGTGCAGAGCCCGACGTGGGGCTCGAACTCACAAACCGTGAGATCGTGACCTGAGCTGAAGTCAGACGCTTAACCGACTGAGCCACCCAGATACCCCTCCTTGTTGGTGTCCTTGAAAGCTTTGCTCCAGTGAAACAGCTTTCTTCTGTCTACGTTTTCCCCTTTTCTCTCCCTAAATTGTTGCCAGACTTTGTGATACAAGTCAATAGTAGTATAGCCATTAAATTTTAGTTGTAATCTACCTTACTGAACTGATTCCAATAAAGAGCTGTTTTGTAGATTCCAAATGGCCTAGGGCTGGATTTAATAATGACATTTATTTAATTTCACTTACTTATTAATTTATTTTTAAATTAGATTAAAAATTTCTCTATTTGACCCTTACTTCCAATATAGAACTGGAATATAAAACCAAAACATAATTCAGCTAGCTAAACACATTGTTGGGGCAGATATTATGAGCTCCTTTTTATTTGGGGGGGATGGAGAATTTCTTTTCTTTTTGATGATGTGACATTTGACACATATAAATGGAGCATAAAAATAGAATGAACACCTATGAATCTGCTTAGAGTTCACTTAGAGTTACTTAGACTTAAGAAGTAGAAAATTTTAGGTACTACTCAGGCTTCCTGTGTCCATTCCCTGATCACATTCCCCACCCTTCCTCCTGGAAATAAGTACTCTAGAATTTTGTTTATTCTCCCCCATTATTAGCCTTATCTTTTTGCCTGTGGCAGAAAGGTTGTTTTTCTTGTTTGTTACTGTTTCATCTTAACCCTGGGTAGATAGCTGTTCTAAAACAAAAATTTAGCATATTAAATTATAAGCTAATGTACATAACTGTCTAAGTATGTCTGGATAGAGTTGATTTACATGCATATGTAACCAAAGTCTGTAATAAGGTTTGGGCCCAGGCAACTACAGAACTGTGTTTATAAAATCTTATAAAACAAGCTCTTTTGTTTTACTGAATATGTAGTATCCTTCTGGTAGGTACTTTGCTTTGTCTTTTCCAGCATTACTATTGTGTTTTACTCCTCATACATTTGTCAATAGAAGGGGGGAAAAATCACTTGTCAATATAGCACTTGTGTTGTGTTCTCTGACTTTGCTAGTTATATTTATAAAATTGAAAATTTCAAATTTTATGTATTTTAAAATCAAATTTTTTTTAGTTTAATTTTTTGAGTAATGTTCAGAATTTAGAAGAGTTGTAGAGTCATGCATTTAGGTTATAGTGTCTTTTACATAGTATTTGAAATGACATTTCCATAAAATTTTTTGATAAATATTTTATATTTATTTATTTTCCTATGTACTTAGTATTCAGTGTAAGAGGTAGCACTTGGTATCTTTTTTTTTAATTTTGTTTAATGTTTATTTCTGAGAGAGAGAGAGAGAGAGAGAGAGAGAGAGAGAGAGAGCACGTGCAAACAGGGGAGGGGCAGAGAGAGAGGGAGACACAGAATCCAAAGCAGGCTCCAGGCTCCGAGCTATTGGCACAGAGCCCGATGAGAGGCTCGAACTCACAGATCGCAAGATCATGACCTGATCTGAAGTCAGATGCTCAACTGACTGAGCCACCCAGGTGCCTCACTAAATATCTTTTTAAAAAACATCAACAAAAAAAATAGCTATTGTTATTTAGTAGTGAAGTAACTATAGATTACCATTATTATATATAATGAAGTTCAGATTGAAGATCAGTTAGTTTTCCAAGGAATATATCTTAGAATATATCGTAGATAAGACTTTGAAGGGAGATATTTCCTTGAATTTGTAGAACTTAATTAAATGCCATTAGGGTGAAAATCTAGCTCTTTTAACCATATAAGCTTCTTCCCTCATTACAGAAATATTGCCTTCTATCTTTGAGAATAATTGAGACATGTCTTAGGAGCTGAAAATGAAAAGAGCTCATTCTTCTTTTCCAGTTTGAATTAAGGAAAAGGACAGGTAAAGACTGAGAAACTTAAATTAAATTAAATGAAATCTTGTCATCAGTAGGCTCTGTTCTTATCCAGTTAGGCTAGTTATAGCCAGAGCTGGGTCTTAGCAGACAATGCAAGGCAGCCGGTTAGAAGTGGTCATCCTTAGTAGGACATGAGTAAAGCTGGATATACAACCAGCTAGACCTGCATCACAGGAGTTATGACGGATCCAGTAAAGAGCTGAAATATGGGTAGGATCAATCTAACTAAGATCCTTGACTGAATTTTTAGAAGTCTTACTGCGGAGGGGCGCCTGGATGGCTCAGTGGGCTAAACGTCTGACTTGGGCTCAGGTCATTATCTCCCAGTCCATGGGTTCGAGCCCTGCATCAGGCTCTGTGCTGACAGCTCACAGCCTGGAGCCTGTTTGGGATTCCATGTCTCCCTCTCTCTCTGCCCTTCCCCCACCCATGCTCTGTCTGTCACTCTCAAAAATAAAGAAACATTAAAAAAAATTTTTTTTTAAATCTTACTATGGAATGAATCTTACCAATTTGGTGGGATGAGAGATGCAGGAATGCTCAGAAACTAAAGTGAATGAGTCTTGCACTCTGAAATATTCTAGAATTATTTCACTGTATCACAGAGTCAGAGCTGTATCTGTCTCATACGTAGTACCAAGCTTTTAAAACAGGTCTTTTCCTGGTGTGCCAGGCAGGCTGTGTCTTAATCTAGGCATATATGTATTCATGTATGTCTTCAGGATTCTTTAGTGTGCAAATTTAGCCTGTGTATGCACGAACCATTCCATTTCATCCACATGTAGGCAAACTAGCTAAAAATTTTTGCTATTGAGGTTCTTTGTCCAGTATTTTCTTTTCACTCTTTTTTTAAGAGACTGTTGACTAAAATTTTTCTTTGGTTTGGTTACATCAGTTTTTTTTTTTTTTTAAACCATCATTATTAGTTTCTTTATATATATTACTTTTTTCGTTAGGATGGACGTTTGAAGCCAGGAGATCAACTTGTCTCAATAAACAGGGAATCTATGATTGGTGTATCCTTTGAAGAAGCAAAAAGCATAATTACTAGAGCCAAGTTAAGGTAACTCTCCTATCCATAAAGTAGAATGAGTTTTTTAACATGTCTTCTCAAAAATAGTAATTTAAGAGACTTAAATACTTTAGACCCTAAAAGAAGTATATTTTCATAATATTTGAAACATTATCTTAAAATTCAGGTGTGCATTTCCATAACCTATCCATAAAGTTATTGCTTTTTAATGCTAGGTCAGAATCTGCTTGGGAGATAGCCTTCATAAGACAAAAATCGGATGGCAGTCATCTAGAAAATCCATCTTGTACATCCCTTTTACAAGCTTCAGGAGAATATGGACCGCAAGCCTCAACATTTAGCCTTCTTCCTTCTCCCCCTGAAATACTAATTCCAAAGACCTCATCTACTCCCCAAACTACAGATACCATTTTATCTTCTTTTAGGAGAAATCAGGTAATCTTACATTTCTCTGTATATTTCTCCGGTCTGTATATTTTTACATTTGTTACATACACATAGAATTATAATTTCGGCAATGCAGTTTATTAACATTTTGGTATTCACTTGAAAGATCTTTCCTTTTTTTCCTGCTTAAGAATTTTATGCTGTGCCGTGTCTATAATACAGTTTTTCAAGTCAGTGTGTCTTTGGTTCAGAAAGTCAAGATCAGGGAGGGCCTTGCAAAGATATGCCTAGATAGCACTCAAAACTGTGTTAGGCATGTCATATTTATTTTCAGAAAGTGTCTAATGGTTTCTTGTTATTCCTATTTTCTGCTTGACTGAAGACAGGCAGTCTACCTTTTTGTTCTTAGCTTATTCTCCTGCACAGTGAGACAGTAATCCTGATTACCCAGTGTAGGTGGATATGGTTCCCTCACGTGTGTATGCTAATACCTAGTTCACCCCAGTAGAATCACACAGAAGGAGGAGTTTCTACATCAAAATCAGCAGTTAATTACTAATTGCTGCAGTGCCCTAACAAATCAAAGTTAAAACAAATAGAGCATATACTCTTAAATTCCATGTTAGCTATAGAACAAAATAGGAAACTCAGGTAGGTTTTCAATCAATGGAATAAAATTCATCAAAGGTAATTTCAGTTTCAAGTGCCTGCTAATAAGATGCAGAGTGTAAGATTATCTGTCAGCCTCTTCTACTTTTTTTATTTGGGGTTATAATACCTTTCCAAAGATAAGGTACATGGCCTTATGTTTTGTTGTCCTTGGACAGCATAGAGCTGAAAGCAGTTGTTACCTTTAATTCTGAAATGCTTTGCTTGAAGATAAATATACCAAAATTTTAGAGATTTCATATTTTTTGGACCACAGCTTTAATCTTATAAACCATTCTTTTTATGTTAACATGAGCTTCTAGTCTGGTCTTTGACCTACTTTAGAAAATGACATTTTATATTCTTCCTTTTCTTTCATAGATAAAAACTGGATACAAGAAAACAGAACAGACTCCAATTACTTCTTCAGAAAACAGCCCTACGGATATGTCTAATACAGGTAAATGCACATTTAATTCCTCTTTACTGTTACTTCTTTCAATTACTCTTTCTCAACGAGGAGTACATAATGTGACTTAATAGACTTTAAAGAAGGGTGCATTATGCCCTTTTTCCTTCAATGAATAAAAGAGTAAAATGAATGTATTGTGCAGTGGTCCTTGTTAGATTATGATTTTTATTAGAAATTTTCCTTAACAAAGAGTTGAAATTTTAAGATGCATTATCATAACGGTGTCTGTGAAGCTGTAATAACCAATGGACTGTTGAAACCAAATAATGTAAACTCACCTTTAAATCAAGATTAGGCTGCCTTGTCCTTTTAGTGAAATACTGATGAGGTTTATTAAACCCACCTTTAAGAGATATTATAGATAGGAGCATAGCTTAAGAAATATGTTTTTTAAGAAGAGATTATTATAGATGTAAGTTAGAAAGAACGTCAATGTTATGAATTGAATATTATTGCTTATGATTACCATAAAATGATTTACTGACTTTTTAAAACAATAAAGTATTAACTGTGTAACCTACATAAGAAAAGAATTTTTATCAAACTGTAAAGTATCTGTTAGTGGCTGAGATATCAAGAAAAAAAAAGCCTTCCTTTTAAATTATCTCCAAAAATTAAGTACTACAACAACAATCAAAAAGCCATGCTTATAGAAGGGAAATTTTAATTACATATGTTAAAATTATAATGCAAACTGTTACCTGTATATTTTAATTTTTAATGGCATTAATCTAGATCAAAATTGTAAAATAAGGACAAGTTAGTATAAATTATATAGTATGATAGTCCACTTGGGCTACTGTAACAAAATACCAAGACTGGTTGGCTTATCAACAACAGACATTTATTTCTAACAGTTCTGGGGGCTTGAAGTCCAGGATTATGGTGTTGGCAGGGTCCTGGTAAGAGCCTTCTTCAGGTTGCAGGCTTACCTTCATGTCCTCATGTGGGGAGGGAGTAGGAAAGCCTGTGGGATCTCTTTTATAAGAACACTAATCCCATCCATGAGTTCCTCTCTTATGACCTAAGGCCCCATCTCCTAATGCCATCATCTTTGAGGGTTAGGGTTTCAACATGTGAATGTGGGGAGGACACAAACATTCAGACCACACAGCACACAGGCACCACACTTAACAGGAACTTAAAGCGGATTCCATAGTGGTTTCCTCTGATTTGGAGCAGTATTTACCAGTGGGTCGGCAGCAGTCTTTAGCCATAAATTATATGCCTTTTTACTGGGTGGAGTCTGTTGACTCTTAGAAACTTTATTAGTATTATCCCCTTAATGTAATTAATTTCTATTCTCTGGATATATTGTTTTTTCTCATGTGAGAAAAAAAAAAAGATAAATGAAAAAAACAAACGATGGTGAGGATACATTTATATAACATGTTTTTAATTTTGAAAGTAATTGAGGGGCAGCTGGATGGCTCAGTTGGTTAAGCATCTGAGTTCAGCTCAGGTCATGATCTCACGGCTTATGAGTTCGAGCCCCACATCTATCTCTGTGCTGACAGCTCAGAGCCTGGAAACTGCTTGGGATTCTGTGTGTCTCTCTCTCTTACCCTCCCCTGCTCACGCTCTGTCTCTCTCTCTCTCTCTAAAATAAAATAAACATTAAAACAAACAAAAAAAGAAAGTAATTGAACTACTCAATGCCTTTCAGTCTTTTATTAATTCAAGAAGCATTTACTGAGTATGTCCTGTATGTAGAAAACACAGTTCAGTAGGAATTATGAAGGAATTAGCATATTTTCCATGAACTATTTAATAGTCTATGGTGAAATAAAACATGGAGTTAAAAAAAAAAAACTTTCATTATTCAGATTAGAACATATATACGTATGTGTCTATTTTATTGAATAACTGCTGTTTGCAGTGTTCTTTGTTAACTGGAGCAGGATGTGAGTGGTCTTCATGCTCAGAGGAACATACTGTTTTGTCACAAACAGTGCAAAGACATGAAGGAAGTGGATTGAGGAGAGAAATGGCCTGAGCGTGGTGTAGGGAAGGCACAGGTTCTGAATGCAAATGTCAAACCCAGACGTTCATGTCTTTGCTCCTAAATTATCAGCTGTGTGACTTTGAAATAGTCGACTAGTGGGTCTTTATGAGTTAATACTCCTGTGTGAAATCATGCACATCAGGCACTTAGCACTGTAATTGGTACATAGCATATGCTCAGTAAAGTTTGCTGTTACTAATATTACAGAACCCACAGACTAAGGTGTAGCTCAGATAATATTCCAGGGCATGTTTTTAGAGCAGAAGCAAAAGCTCCCATCCTTTAATTCAATTCTGCATCCTCCCGCCACCCCCTAAAACTAGTACATAGTAAAGGATTTGTCACAACATGCAGAAATTTCTTAGCAAAAATCAGACATCATCCAGATCTTGAAAGAAGTGGTAAACATCATTCGATGGATGAAGGAGATCATCCCAAGTGAAGAGGTACCATGAGCAATAGTAAAGAACTAAGGACCAGCTGGGTGTCAGATGATCCTAGGAGGCAGATCTGATTAGAGGAAAGGGATCCCAGAGCGATGAATAAAATGAAGTAAATTTGCATCAGTGACTAAAATAGGCAATACCATATTTTGTAATAGAAAAATGATTTAATGAAAAATACATTTGAGTGAGTAAGCTGTATGAAAAGTAAATATTAAAATGCAATTAAAACAGAACAGTTTCCGGGGCGCCTGGGTGGCGCAGTCGGTTAAGCGTCCGACTTCAGCCAGGTCACGATCTCGCGGTTCGTGAGTTCGAGCCCCGGGTCGGGCTCTGGGCTGATGGCTCGGAGCCTGGAGCCTGTTTCCGATTCTGTGTCTCCCTCTCTCTCTGCCCCTCCCCCGTTCATGCTCTGTCTCTCTCTGTCCCAAAAATAAATAAAAAACGTTGAAAAAAAAAATTAAAAAAAAAAAAAAAAAAGAACAGTTTCCTAGGGTAGAATTAGCATTGAGTTAGTCCTAGATTTTTACTTTCACATAAATGTCGTAGGCCAAATGTTTCTGTGGGGGGAAAAAAAAACAAAATCAACTCTAAATTATCTCAAGGTAACTTATCTATGTTGTGATTTGTCTGTTATAAGCACTTAATTATAGATTGTTCCCAAATTAGACCATTAACTGTCACATCTAAATTCCTTTGGCCAGCTGGTATTTATTAAAAAAAATGTAAACAAGTTTTAATGTTAACCTCAACAAAAATTAAACTTAATTGAGGCAAATCTACCTCTGTTCCCATCTCAAAATTATTGCAAAGTGTAAAACTGGTTAGAATTTTAAAAATCCACATGCTAGTTGAATATGGTTTTAACAACTTTTCTATTATATAAATTTATTTCAGAACCCACATCCATTTGGTTACCTATTACCATAAGGTAACCAACACATGATCTTATAAGTGGGCTGAAAACATACTAAAGACATTCCTAAAAAAATTAGTAAAGAATTATTGCATGAAGAAATGTTATCGTTGCTTTAACTTTGCCATAACACAAACCACAGTCCTCCCACACTAAGGTTTTAGAACTGAAACCAAATAGTGATAGGGAAAGATATCCATGGAGGGTTCATGGTACAAACCAAATGGTTTTGATCCTGCCCTCTTAAACATTCTCTTTCTTCTCCTAAAAAGAGGAATAGAAAAGAAGATCCAAGAGAATAATAAGCCATCCTTTGAAAATCCTCACTCCCCTAGAGAGGAGCAAATCAAGAGCTTGAGGCCAGAATTGAGAGATGTCACTGGCAAATGGGAAAAGCTGTCTGTCTATGGAGGCTTTTCAGGTCAAGCTATTCTGAATTACCAAAGCATGCCAGATTTATGCACAAATCCTCCTAAGGTTTTGACTCAAAGGTATAGGTTTAGGGGAAGGTCATCTGAAAGAGAGATTTTGTTAAGCCATGATTGCATATTGTTCAATGGGGGGTTAGTGTAATTTTACATTAAATCTTAAAATATTTTGCTTTGTTAATATTAACAGTATTCGATAGTGTTCATTAATAGTTTTCTATGGTTTTTTATTTTACCTTTACAATCCCAGTAAGGTGGACTCTTTTATTCTACTTTACAGATGAGAAAACCTGATAAAAGATACTGACAACACTTAAGAATAATGGCTTTGGGGCACCTGGGTGGCTCAGTCGGTTAAGTGTCTGACTCTTGATTTGGGTTCAGGTCATGATCTCACAGTTCTTGGGATCGAGCTGTGCTGACAGCATGGAGCCTGCTTGGGATTCTGTCTTCCTCTGTCTCTGTCCCTCCCTGATTCTTGCTTGCTCTCTCACTCGCACTCTAAACAAACAAACAAACAAACAAAAGAAAAAGAATAATAGCTCTGGGAGTCACAAGAGTTTAGAAACCTGACATGGTCACCTACTAGCTATGTGATCATAGGCTAGTTTCTTTATGTTTTGGGGCCTTGATCTCTTCATCTTTTCAATGGGAATAGCAACATATATGTCATATGGTTATAGTAAAGCTTAATGAGTGTATCTATATGAAGTACTTAATGCACTGCCTAGCTAAAAGTAAGCGTGAATAAGAGCTGATCTTCTGTTAATTTTCACTGTTACACACAGCAAATTTTTATGCTTAGATCTAGGAGAATGTAGGTGAGAATGAAGGTCTTAGTGTGGGTTGGATGCTGTGTGTGTCCCTGTCCTTCCCTCTCTGTCTGCTCTCTCTCCCTCCCATCCCCCATCCCTTCCACACATTTACACTTGAATTGAGTAATTCACTCCCAGGATTAAGATTTTATTGGTCTGAAATCATAATTAAGTTAGCTTGGGTCCACCTAGTATTCATGTGCCTTAACTGCAGGTCAGGCACCAAGCTGAAGGCCATTGTCAAGCCTCACAAATCCATACCTTAAAAATGAAAAATAAAAGTTTGACTTATCTGCTGTTGGGTCTTTTATACCACTCCATGCCAATCTTTTGTGCCACACTATAGGTTTGGCACAGAATTTCACTTAAGAGAAAAAAATATAGATACAGATATACAGATATATACTATTTTTTGTCTCATAGCTAAAAATTAGGTATCATGTTAACAAAAGAGACTGCTGCTTTTATCGGAATTGTATAATAGAAGTCTATTATACTAAAATCACGCTTGCTTAAGGTTTGATTCCATTTGAAACTAAAAGTCAGTAACCATTTTTTTTATGATCTTGACACCTATAAGCTATATTCAAGATTTTACATAGAATGTTAAGGATGTGTTAAAGGTTTAGAGGAAGACTATTTATTTTCATATGCGCTTCTTATGTTCTTAAGAAAGAGAATGCAAATCATTTTGTACTTAGAGACAGATGCTCTGAGAAATTTAAAAAAATTAAAACACTGCATAAAGATGTGACATTTCAAAAAGTTTTTTCTCTTCCTCTTGTTTCTATGTAGAACTAGTAAAATACCATTTAGAAGTGTATTTAGAATAGTGACAATTTAGATGTAAGGATTGACATAAATTATAGGAATTTGTTTCACAAACTTTGGCATATTAAAACAAATAATTTTTCGGGGCTCCTGGGTGCCTCAGTCGGTTAAGTGTCCGACTCCTTTGATTTTGGCTCAGGTCATGATCACACGGTTTGTGAGTTCTAGCCCCACATCGGGCTCTGTACTTAGAGTGCAAAGCCTGCTTGGGATTCTCTCCCTTTATCTCTGCCCCTCCCCTCCTTGCACTCTCTCTTTCTCTCTCTCTGTCTCTGTCTCACAACATAAATAAACTGAAAAAAAATAAAAAAACACAACAAATAATTTTTCAAGGTCTAGTCCCTTGTGGTGTCTGGTCTCGTACTCATGCAGCAAGGACAAAGGCACATCTAAATTATCAGTGGAGTTTGAGAAGGTTGTTAGGATGGGTGAGAGGTGTATGAAATTTAATTCTTGAAAGTCCATCTATGCTCCTTGAAATATAACCCTTCTGTAAAATAAGAAATAGGATTTTTGGTTCCAGAAGTTCTGAGTCTATCATACTTAAGGTGCAAACTTGAAACAATTTGCATTCATGAGTTTTTCCTTAGTACCTTCAGAACTCCCCCAACAAAAGCACATTTGCCTGTCAAAGAAGTATCACGATCTTTTTGAATTCCTAATACGATTTTACTTAGTTTGGAAGAAAAAAGACTTCGGTTTACAACGAGTAAGACATGGTGATGATGGGGTAGTGGTAGGATATATGTTTGTCTTTTAAATTAATATTTCCATGGGACTTAATGCATAATTGGCCATTCTTTTTATATCATATCTTTTAATGCTTAAGTGAAGCTGATTTATATATTACATTTTAGATTTAAAGAAAAAAAAATCATGAAAACAAAAGTGAAAACTGCCAACTGATTAGCCAGAATTATTTTTGAACAGCAGGAACCCAGAACACATTCTGTCAAATGAAAAGTTCTATTCCAATTAAATTTCCAATTAACGTGCACCCTGTTGTCTCTTAGATATTGCCCCTGCCTGGACTGATAATTATGGACCACAAGGAAAGAAGATTTCCCTAAATCCTTCTGTTCGCCTTAAGGCAGAGAAACTGGAAATGGTAAATACTTTAAATTTCCCTTTTTCTTCCATAAAACAACAGTGAGAAAGTATTCTTATTCTTTGAGAGGATAAAGAACTAAAGCCATTACTTTCTTGAAGAGTTAACTTATTTGCAATTAAATGAATGGCAGTTTGGGTTTTAATTATTTATGTTTGAGTTGAGCAGCCAACTCAGGAGTACAAAATAGAAATAAAACCTTTGGTAACTAAATTGACACCAAATTAATCAGTTTCCTCCTGTGCAGGAGTAAGACAAATGTGATGTTTTACAATGTAGAATCAAAGGGAACGTGGAATAAATTATGACAAAGTGTATGTAAAAGCAGTAAGTGCAAGGAAACAACTCTCCATTATTTAAGCTTTTAAAAAGCAAAGGGAAACTAAATCCTAAACAACAAAATAGTCAGATGCTCACTAAATACAAAGAAGATGGTAGAATGTACTTAGAGGTGCCAAAAAATAGTCCTGGGGAGAGTAAAGTATTGTATGTAAAAGAAACCTAAGGTGATTAAAAAGGAAGAATTAAAAGTAGAAAAGCATTTTAGAGCTTTTCCTGTCAGGTCACCAGGGAGCTTACAGCAAAAATGTGCCGTGTTTTTTGTTTGTTTTTTAATATAAAAGTGGATATAGGGCTGAAGGTCCACAGCCTCTGTTTTCCTGTCAGTTCTTGTGGATAAGGATTTTTTACATTTTAGGAGGAGTTGAAAATGCATAGCTACAATCAATACACATTGCACTTATTCCCATATTCACATCTTTGCATGGTCCTATACCAGTGCCGTTTTCGTAGTCAATTTAAATCTTAACCATTGCTGGGGCGCCTGGGTGGCGCAGTCGGTTAAGCGTCCGACTTCAGCCAGGTCACGATCTCGCGGTCCGTGGGTTCGAGCCCCGCGTCGGGCTCTGGGCTGATGGCTCAGAGCCTGGACCCTGTTTCCGATTCTGTGTCTCCCTCTCTCTCTGCCCCTCCCCCGTTCATGCTGTGTCTCTCTCTGTCCCAAAAATAAATAAACGTTGAAAAAAAAATTTTTTTAAATAAAAAAAAAAATAATAAATAAATCTTAACCATTGTTCAAATTGTAACTCAGTTCCAGTCCTTGTGTCTATTATAGTTGTTTCCCTTGTTTTGCACATCTACATCACTTAACATCACATCGTAGTGCTGAATAATCTTATGTGTATTTTGTTTTGACAGTGAGATAAAGTTTCTTCACAGCAGTATCTAGTACACCCACCACTGTTTAAACACTTGGTTTGTGCTCATTAAAATTTTCCCATTATTAAGTACTTAAGATATCTCCCTTAGATTTTCAAACTCCTGGCTCTCTTCTGCTAACGTGTACTCTCTTTTTATTGGTGGCTGGATTATTTGAGGTTTAAAAAATTTATAAATGACTAAAAAATAAAGTTATTGTTTTTTTTTTCAACGTTTATTTATTTATTTATTTATTTTGGGACAGAGAGAGACAGAGGATGAACGGGGGAGGGGCAGAGAGAGAGGGAGACACAGAATCGGAAACAGGCTCCAGGCTCTGAGCCATCAGCCCAGAGCCTGACGCGGGGCTCGAACTCACGGACCGCGAGATCGTGACCTGGCTGAAGTCGGACGCTTAACTGACTGCGCCACCCAGGCGCCCCTAAAGTTATTGTTTTTTAATGATGTTGCTTTAATATGCATTTCTGAACATCCAGTATTTAATACTAACCATTTCTCTGGGTAAGGAGAAAGTTATCCAGCTAATAACTACTTGGCAGCCTTTCTTCTTTTATTTGATTTCAGCTTTCCTAGTGATGAGGGAGCATAGGGCAAGCTGAGGGCAAAGTACAGGCTAACAGCATCCCCCCCCCCTCTAGGTGGGATGTGTGTGATATTCCTCAGACACTCCTGGCTGCCCAAGAACTGGGGAAAGGAAAGAAAGCAAGTTGTTGACTGATAGAGATCACAGTCATGCAGGATAGGTGTCTGCTTCAGTTTTACGGGTAAATTAGTAAACTGCAAGTAAAAGGCAATCTTATCCATACCTAATCTCCAGAAACCTATAGACTCTGTTTCCTGGAGCCCTAATATCACCCTCATCAAGATGTAAGGGGGTTTAAGTGCCGGCCATGGTGATGTGGGAAACAAAGGCAAATGAAAAATTAAAATTCCCTTACTGCCTACAGTCCATTGACAAGTCCTTGAACCAGGCAGAGTGACCTTCCTCTAGGAGCTCAGCTGCCTCAATGATGACACTTTGCTAGGGACAAAAGGGAATCTTGGCTTAACATTAGTCCTGACACCCCATCCTGTAAGTCTACTTTAACATATAAAAATTCCTTTGGTAACCTTCCTTTATCTCAACTCCCCCAAGATACATGCTGGCAATCATACTCCAAGCATATGACTCCCTGATGTACATCTGAAGGGTCTCATGACTAGATTTTACTAAACAGTAATAAATAGCATTTTCCTAACAACAGCTAGCCCCTCAAGGTCCTGGAAACCTTGCTTCCAAAATTCCTTAGAGACTTACACTGTCCCTAACCCCCTCCCAACCTGAGGGTAGACAGTTACCCGTCACAACCCCAGTGCAGCTCTTTCTGCCCATGGGTCCTGTCCCCGTACTTTAATAAAATCACCTTTTTGCACCAAAGACATCTTCAAGAATTCTTTCTTGGCCATCAGCTCCAAACTCCCATCATCACCCCATAACCGCATGACTAGCACATGCTATTTTTTAATCTAATTATCTTAGAGATAAGAAAATCATCTAAATTTATACAGACTCTGAGAAATTTGAGTTGTTTTTTTAGGTTTTGGTCCTCCTTTTAGCCTAAACAAATTGTTTTTCTGGAAAAATAAAATGGCAGTTTTACAGTAATGACAACCCATATTCTGTGTAAATTCAGCTTTTTTATTCAAAATATATTAGTGACTTTATTTAGTAGAGCATTCTTTGTTTTCAGAGTTTGAAACTGTATCTTGCTTAATAAGAATTTTTTTTCCCCATAATCCAAATTAGCTCCTATCTACCCAAATATTTGCTGAGCTACCTTTCCTTTTTCGTTTAGTTGCCTAATAATATAATAATATCTGTATCATTCCATTTGAAATAGGTCCTTCTATTTCAGTTGCTACTTTGCAGACAGATTCAGTAACAGATAAGGCCAATGTGATCAAATATTTAAAATGAAATAAAATTATCCTTTTCCTTTATCTTCTGTAAATATATTACATATAGCATCTAGGAAATTATTATAATAAAATTTCACAAGGGAAAGGTATTGACTGACCATGTGATTATTAAGTAATTAGCCTACTCAATACAATTTTTATGAAAGACAAGAGGTTAGAATTTGCTGAAGCAAATTACCTGTCAACACATATACATATATGGCATTGTCTTCATGAAATCCTCTATGTTTTACTAGTCTACTTAGACGATTTTGTATCAGGATATACTGGAAAGTGGTTTCTAATACTGAACTACTTATGTCTTAATTCCTTGCCTGAAAAATGGATTGCCTTTTTGCCTGAGGATGATGTAATTTTACAGATATTTTAAAATAAGTTCACCATAATTATTTGCAGTGCCATATTTTTTTAAGTATTTTTATGAGTACTGTGGGTCTCATTTAATCCTAATGTTAAACCTGTAAGTAGACATGGTAAACACAGCAAATAGGTATACAATTTATTAGTTGGCTTGAAGACAAAGAATTACTGTACTTGTATGCTATCTGTATTTTTGTACCTAAGAAAGATGCTTTGGGATACAGATGCCATTTCGCTGATATTTACATTACCTCTTGCCATTTCTGTAACATTTGAAGAAAGCTGTAGTGAGCAACGGCATACCCAGTGTCTGATTACAGTTAATGAGATGTTCTTTGTATTAGGTTGGGAAGTATGTGATGAATATTGTAAAGAAGTTAATTTTTTTTTTAAATTCATCATTCAGACATTAGAGTTAAGGGCATTTATTTGTCCAGTTAACAAATTTGCATTTTTGCCAAAGGTTAAAAGATGACATTCATTATTATTCAAGAAATTTTTGGAACCTATTTTTTGACCAGAAATAGATTATTTCCTGCTTATATTTATGAGCTTACCTCACTGACATGCTATATTCATCTAGAATAAATTTCTAAAGTTTAGCTCTAGGTCAGTTTCCATTGTAGCTGATTTTATTTTGTAATTATTATTACTTAGTATAAAAATAATCATATACTTTTATTTATTTATTTATTTTTAGAGAAAGAGCACAAGTAGGGGAGAGTGACAGAGAGGCAGAGGGAGGGAGAGAGAATCTTAAGCAGGCTCCATACTCAGTGCAGAGCCCCACAGGGCTCAATCCCATGACCCTGGGATCATGACCTGAGCTGAAATCAAGAGTCGCATGCTCAACCAACTGAGCCACCAGGCGCCCCAATAATAATCATATATTGCTTACCTTCTGTGACAGGTGTTTTGTTTGCTTTACTTCTGTAAAGTTGTTTTTATTTCTTTACATGAAAATATCAGTCATACACAGAATGATTATATTGTGCATGTACAGCTTAAAGAATACTAAAACAAACACATCTGTACCCACCACATAGCTAAGAATGAGAATTTTTGACATTGCCTGTGTGTTTCTTCTTGATCATATACACCTCTCTCTCTCCCCAAGAGATAACTCTGTTCTAAATTTCAAGCTTATCATTCATATGCTTTTTAAAAGTTGATTTACTAAAACATGATGAGGTCAAAGTGTTTATTTACCTTCATCTGTACTTGAGGTGTTGCCAAAATTTTCACTTCCTTTTCTCTGGTTCCTAAAAAAATGCGTGACTCATAGTAACTGCTCAGAAAGTAATTGTTGGATTGGTGCATTGATTTGTAAAGTAGCATTCCCGCTAGTCTTATGCAGACGTTCCCATGGCTCCACATACTTAATAGTTTGTGTAATTATAATACATTTTTATTTATTTCTATCATTTTATTAAAATAATACTTTTGTTCTATTACTTCTTCCC